GAGTCTCCAATCCCAACTCTCGCCTGACCTAGCCCCCTTCCTCAAGCCCACTTCATTGGGCCCCTTCGCGGCAGGGACCGGTCGAGGCCGAGTGGGCCAAGTGGCTGGCCGCGGCGAGGTACCAACTGGGCTGACGAGGCCGTGGGGACGAGGCGCGAAACCGAAGCTGAAAGTGTTTACGCTTGACTGCACCCACTTGAAGCGAGACGCGCCCACTTGGAAGTGGGGCAAACCGATGAGGCTGCACGTAGTCAGACATGACAACAGTTGCCATATCAAGTGGGATCGAGCGGCGATGGTACAGCGCGAGGGGTGGGGCGGTGGGGGGCAGGGTGGGCAAGAGAATGTCCTGTCATGTGGCCAATCAACCGTGCCCGGCTGGAAGAGGACACGAGGAGAATACATTTTTCAATATTTATGTTAATCAAGATGTTGTGGCCTCTGGTATGGTCGCAGTCCCCTTTCCATTTTTAGAAGTTGGTTGATCTCTTTGTCGCAACTTGGTCTTGTTGTCAGGGCGACTATGTAGAACGCAACTAGTCCGAAGTCGTCTGCCATAGTAGTTGTGGGCTTGGTACATTCTCAAATGTTTCGCTGGCATCGTAGCCGGCATCATCAGTCAGTTTTGAGCTACGAACTCGTCAAAATGACAAGTGAAGTCAATGCCTCGACAACCGTTCTGCTCGAAACGGTTACAGTATCACTCCACTTTCTGTCATTGTCTATCTATCTACTCTTTGCCCTCTTATCCCACTGCAAGTGTGATGAGTCCACACTCGGTTTGCCACAAAAAGGGCACACATTTTTGATGATTTGAATGTAAACAAGTGAGAAGTTGTGATGTGGCGGCAGTGGGATAAGAGGGCAAAGAGTAGATAGATAGACAATGACAGAAAGTGGAATGATACTGTAACCGTTTCCGGCAGAACGGTTGTCGAGGGATTGACTTCACTTGTCACTTTGACGAGTTCGTAGCTCAAAACTGACTGATGATGCCGGCGAAACGTTTGAGAATGTACCAAGTCCACTGTCTGATGATGGGAATCATGACAGCTACTAGACCAGACGACTTCGGATGATGTGTATTCTACCAAGTCGCCCTGGCAACAAGACCAAGTTGCGACAACGAGATCAACCCACTTCTATAAATTGAGAATGTACCATGTCCACTGTCAGATGCTGGGAATCATGACAACTACAATGGCAGACGACCTCGGACTAGGTTCGTTCTACATAGTCGGCCTGACAACAAGACCAAGTTACGACAACAAGGTCAACCCAATTCTCGAATTTTTCGTTTATAAGCCGAGTTTCGAGGCCACCAGTATTGTCCGTGTGAGTAGGAACTACAAGTAGTATATACGAAGAAAAGTTGGGTTTCGAGGAATCTCTTGTTTCATAATTGTTGGGCTTACTTCCATTTCG